TAATTATAATTCTGCAGATAGCAATTATAGTCGAGAATATTATGATTTACTTATGAATACTGGTAACACATATCTTCTATTCAACTCAATATTAATGGGGAAAATTACCCTAAAAAACCATATACGCCTAATTATAATTCTGCAGATAGCAATTATAGTCGAGAATATTATGATTTACTTATGAATACTGGTAACACTGATACATCGTTTATTAATCAGATAGATATGAAAAAATATTGGATGACTTATTGTTTATATGCGTTTAATTTACAAAGTGAGATAAACAATCAAAATTACATTGATTTACCAAAAGAAGGGTTTATAAATGTTGAAATAAAATTTACCCAAACTATGACAGAAGCGATGAAACTTATTGCTTATGCTGTTTTTGATAATACAATTGAAATTGATGAAAATAGGAATATCAGTATTGATTATTAAAAATGGATACAAAATCAATTAAACGAATTTTATTAAAAGATAGCCAGACCAAAAATATTTTCTGTGGAGTAATTCCAATCGATTATTTACCCCAAAAACCACTAACTAAACCATGTTGTTTTATTGTTAACTTTGATAACTCAACAAAACCTGGTTCTCATTGGATAGCAATTTATGCGCCTATTAGAGGAGCGATAGAATATTTTGATCCGCTTGGTCGAATACCAATTCATTTAGAGTTTTATAAATTTTTCAAACTAAACAAACGACCATTTAAATATAATTCAATCAAATATCAAGATCCAACATCAAAATACTGTGGCTTATTTAGCATATTATATTTACTGATGCGTTCACGTAACATATCTATCTACAGAATTAAAAATTTATTTAATAAAAATAAACAAATGAATGATAAAATAATTATAAATTTATTTAAAAAATTAAGAATAAAATACAATTTATTTTAATATATTATTAAAAAAATTATTTTTATATAATAATAAATGTATTAATGTATAAATACTGAAATAAATATTAATTAATGTCAGTTGAACCAAAACCATTGTTTCCACGACTTGTTTCGTCTAAGCCATTGACAATTACTGGAACGACATGAATGTATGGCTCAATAATTAGTTGGGCAATTTTATCACCAATTGTGTATTCGTAATTTTTGATTCCATTATTAATTAATAAAACATATATAATTCCAGTATAATCGTTGTCAATGACACCGGCTCCAATATCCAATCCTTGTAGTGAAAGTCCACTTCGTGCAGCAATCCTACCATACGTCCCATTTGGCAATGTGATTGAAACTCCAGTTGAAATTAATTTACGTGAATTAGACCTAATTATTCCTTCATCTGCAGAATATAAATCTAAACCAGCACTATTTGGTGTACCACGTGTAGGTAAAAGTCCACCAAAATCCAATTTCACTTTCAACTCCATATCTAAAAAAGTAATTATTTTAAGTAATACTAATATGTCCAAAAGGCAGTGTGTTAATTCCATCATCTAAAATGTATCGCTTGTCATCAAATGGGTGAAAAATTAATTTTGTCAGCTCGACCGTTTGTAAATTATGTTGTTTTGATTGGATACGTTTCATTGAATGTGTGAGTATGTCTTGATTTTGTATGACATCACGATAAACTTGATGATTAATCATTTTATTTAATACAATTTTTTGAAGTCCTTTGGCAGTTTTCTTTTCAAGTTTTTCATTGTCATATAATATTGAATAAAGTTTTGATTTTATACCAATAAATTCATCAATGTTTTTTTCGCCGTATTCTGATTTTAAATATCCAATTAGTTTCTTGTGTTTCTCACTAAACAATGGATGATTTTTATCGAAATTTGAGAAATCCATGATCGGTGTGAAATGTTTTCGTAAATCCTCCATAAAGTCATTTGTTTTTAACTCATAAATAAAACTGTCAGTGTCCGTATATATTAGTTGTACGTTTTCTTTGTAATAGTCTTTGAATAATTTATAATGTAGTGAATACATGTAATATTTTGACAGTTCAAGGACTGTGAATCCAATTCCTATCGGTTTATCGAGAACAACATATCCTTTTCCAAGTTTAATGAGTGAAGAATTTTCATTTAATATGTGAAAATTTTCAAAGTTTGGCATTCGAACCCATTTTGCGCATTGCTTTTCATTCAATGCGATTTTCAAGTTCATGTGTTTTCGTTTATCTTCAATGCTTTTACCGAAAACACTGTTATTCATCAGTTTATACAAATCTTTCTCAAAATCAGATGTAGCTTTGCTTCTTAACGTTGTATTTAAATCAATATATGGTTTGAGAAATGCCTTCTGTTTAAATCTAATCCCCCGATGAATATTTGTTAATTCAAGTCCAAGTTGAAGATACAATTTTAACACTTTAAAGTGTACAGTATATTTAATTTTGTCGTCCAATGTAAGCAATAACTTTTCAGTTGGAGTTCGTTTATAATTGAATTGTTTTAAATAAATTAACGTATCAGTTTGATATTTGCTCAATTGATCGTTAGATATTTTGTGTTTGACAGGGGCCAGCGGATAATCTTGATGTTTATCGTGTAAATCAATGGGATATTTTAAATCGCATTCAAGTATGTATCCATAATCAGTATTTGTTTCAATTTCTTGCCAATTGATTTTGATTAGTTCTTCATTATTAATCCATTCAAATTCTGATACAGGAAGTTTTTCATTTAATGCTTTTCCGTATAAATTATTGACATCTAAATGACAAATAAAAGTTTTATCTTTTGATGAATCATATTGAGATGATAATTCATTGTTTGCTTTTACAAATCGTTTTGTAACTCCACAAATACCACCCCGTATTGCTTTTTCAATAAACATGTATATATTTACATCAAGAATGTATTCCAATTCAATTTTAGTGTATTTAAGTGCAGCACTCCATGCAAGTCCAGGAATGCTATAAAAGTGACACGGATCTAATTCGTATGTTTTTATAATTGTTTTGCGAAATTCTTGAAAAACATCAGCCAATAATGATGTATCCAATAAACAATAAAAATTGTGATAATCACCGAGTGTTGACATATTAAATTGAGTCCATACATTTTGTGCAAATTGGTAATCATCATTACTTATTGACTTAAGATTTAACGATGAATAAAACTGGTCAATTGGCGGAAGTTTTGTTTCATTAAATTTATCAAAGCTATCCATATATTCGTATGGATAAAAGCTTTTTTGAAATAATAATATATTTTTTGTGTGATCATTATTAGTATAATTATTAAACACATTTTTGGTAATTTTAAATTGTCCATTTGATTTTCGTAGATTTTTAACCAAACAATCAAGTGAATCACTTAGAAATTGACACGAGTCAATGATTTTAACATTGTCAAGAGTTATTGATAGGTATTTTTCCAGTGAATTTGGTACAATGTTGCACTCTTTAAATAAATTTAGATTTATATTTTCAATGATAAAATGCGAGTCATAATTTTTTAAGTTATGAAATATTAAAGGTATTTTGTTTGGAACTTGATATAATAAATTGCATGAATTGTGCATTGGTCCTCGATATTTTCCAGTCAAATGATCGTGATCACGTACTTTATAATCTGATTCAGTAAATTCTTTGCGACACAAATAACAGTTGGTTGACAAGTTATATGCATCAGTTTCTTCGTTAGTTAATTCATTCATGCTTAAATTTGTGTTAACTTTTACATACAATTGTTGTGATATTTCTTTGAGTTCTTTAAGAAAAGCAGCAATACAATTTTTTCCGCGATAAATATTTTTATGATAAATTTGATCATTTTGTTTAATGACAATTAATGCATAACCACACGCTTTATGAATTTGTGTCACTTTGGTTTTAGTTGATAATTGAGATTCTTTTTTAATTAAAACAGATTCAAAATCTGCAAACATTATATATGGATATTTATACATATATTGATATTCGTCAAATTTTAAATATTTTGACTTGTATGGCATCACCACTGTACATGCTTTGAAGTGTTTGCAGTTATCAATATGACGGTTAAGTTTCAATTTTGACTGGAATCCCGATAAACAATTATAACAAAAGTGGTGACAATTTGAGGCATATGATCCAAGTAATCGATTGAAAGTTTTAATTAAATAATAATGATTTTCATAGATTAATAGTTTAATCGTAAATTTTGCTTTCCGTTTTGAAATATAAATTGGTATTATAGCCGGTTCTAGTTGTAATTGTGTATCATCAAAACCGTATAAATTAATTCGTATGCCCAAATGTTGGTTTTGACGTTCAAATTGTTCAATGAATTTAACTTTCATTGGATATTTAATATTGCCAGTATGAATAAATTTTTCAAACTTTTTTAAAGTTGAAATTCTTTGTAAATTTTTAGTTTGTTTTTGAAATTTATTATGAGAAGCCAAATAAGCCAGTATGCAATATAAAAAGCATTTGTCATCATTTGATTTGATAGATATTAAACATTTTTTATTTAGAAGAATTTGTGGTAATCGTTTTGTCTCGCAACCACCACTTTTCGGAATATATTTTGCAATTTTGATATCCAATCGATCAATTTCTTCAATAATATATCCTGATCCAACTGATTCAAAATTGTTAATCTGAGTATCTAGCGAATCAATTATTTTTGATAACATTTCAATTTTATCAGTGTATTTATCAACTTCTATATTTTTACTATAAAAATATCCAGTTACATAAGTGATAATCTCACCAATTTGTTTATAAAATGAACATTGAATGCAAACTTGAAGTTTAAAAGCTGGTAATTTTACAATAACCAAATCAATTAATTGTGAAATGTCTGTTTCATAATTAATTAGAAATTCTTGACAATCAGTAAATTTGTTTTCCGGATATAATTCATATTGTTGTAGGAACGACTTGAAACTTTGCTTTGATAACTTAAATTTTGAATTAGTAGGTAATTGTGGCAAGCGTTTTTCTAAACCAGAACCAATTTGATTAACTTCTCTCACAATATGCTTAATCAATCCGGCCTTTGTATGACAATATTTATTGCAACGCTTGCATTCAGTTGGACATTGTATTGATTGGCAGCTTTTCAGATGAGTAGCCAAAGATGGCAATGTACTGCATTGTTGAAAACAATATTCACAATTATAAAGTGAATTTGTATCGCACGTGTCAATGATTTTGTTCTCATGAATTATGCGGTTGTGCTTCAAATAATTACGATGATTGGTGAATACCTTATTGCAATAATCGCATTCGAACTCTCCTTTAAATATATTGCTCTCCATATCTATAAATAGACAAAAAATCAACGTTAATACTTTATTTTATGTTTAGCTTATAAATGGATGACTATCGAATTGTATTTGGATATTTATATAAACTTATATTAATAATAATAAGTATTATTATATTGTATGATGTTAATAAAGAATCATCTAACAATTTACATCCAATTGATTATATAATAAAAGATCCTTTTGAAAATTGTTATCTTACTGTTCATAATTTTGTTTCATTCAATGCCGTAATGGATTTAAAGTCAAATCATAATTCAACAATTGCAATGAATAAAAATTTGTCAAATCAAAATTTTAAATCATATATTTATTCATATTCGAGACCGTATTTACTTGAATTAGTTCACAATTCAACAGATGATTGTTTGTGTTGTCATTAAAACAATTGTATCAAACATAGCTTGTTATCTACCGGTCTCTACAACTGAAAACTAAAAGTCATATCAGATTAAAGTTTACAGCACAATATTGTCAACTAATTGTGACCCGCATCGGAACTCTGCCATCAAGGCCTTAATTGACGTATTAACTGCAACACTTATATAGAGACACAGGAGTATGCACTCATTACAGATAAACTTTGTTTGAAATACACATTGTGTTTTATGACAAAAATAATAAGTTTTAATATTTAGTTTGTATTTTATTATATTTCATAAATTTTAAAAACAAGTTTATTATTAATATGTGGCCGGACATATTAATAATTATGTAATATGTTTTATAATTTATTGTTTTATATACCAAAATATACACATTTTAATTGTATTTTATTTTAATTATTCAATTTATATTATAATATATTTATATTGTTCTTAAATATTTATCAGCTGGCCAACTGATGTAATAAATAATTGTGTCAAAATTTTCAATTAAATTGTTTAATTTGAAATAAATAAACGAATACATTTATTTAATACAACAAGTTATAATATAAATGTATTAAAACAAAAAATATTATATTGTTAATTACAAAATGATGGCCGGTTATTGTAATACAAAAATTTTATAATTATAATTTTATAAAATTTCAACAATCAAATAATTTTAAAATTATTGTCATCTGCCGGCCACAGATGTATATATAAATTATAACAAAATTTATTTTAAAAGTAATACATTAAATAATATAATAATTGAGATTAAATATGTTTAAATAATATAATTTGTTTATAGTCCAACGACTTAATATAATTTGTTTATAGTCCGTCGACTAAACATTTTTAAGTGTGTTTACACTAACATTTATAGTATGTTTATACTTTTGTGTGATTTTTGGGAAGTTTGGCCAAGACATGCTTGATTGCTTTGAGGTAAAAAGGGACCATATTTGCATCAATTCGGAAACGATAATCAGATACAATAACTTTGTCGTTTGAATTTTTAAATTTGAACAAAACAATTCTTGAATTTTCAATTCCGACACCATCATACGCTTTATACAATAATATTAATTGCAAGGCCAGAAACAACAACAAAGTAAAGCATAAAGTAAGTTGTTTAACTTACCGCATTTGCACAAATTGGTGACTTCTCCATTAGGCTCATTAGACTTTGAAGGAGACGGGTCCTCAAAGTCAAATTTCAAAGAGCCTTCAGATTTTGACTTTTTTTTAGCGTTACCATTTTGTGCTTTCTTCGGACGCTTTGGCTTTGGCGGCTCTTCAAGCACTACCATATCATCATCGCTATCGGAATCAGCGGTTCCAGCGCTCTCCAAAGCCTCTTGGCTTGCAAACTCTTTTACTTTTTGGGACATATTTACTTTAGAAATGAATTATTAATTATATATATCAATAATAACTATTTGCCAAGCAAAAGTTTAATGATTTTTAGAGAGCAACTCTTTCTTTTTATACAGATTTTACATCCTGTAACCTAAAATTTAGGGTACGCCTTAGATTCGTGAAGGAAACACAATTTTTATTGAACAGTGCCTTTTAGTGTGTTTTACAATATTTATTAATAAATTGTCGTCGGAAATATTTTTTGGTGGATGTTACACATCCCGGGGTTTTAAAGTTTTGTAACAAACTTTCCCGGGAAGCCGTCCATTTTATCCGCATATAAACGACAAAAGTATAGTATATAAAGAGCAGATTTTGCTTCATTTCAATCAATTGTCTTGTACTCCACACAATGTATGAGAAAAATCAATTTGCAGAACACGTTATGGCCCATATTGCTGGATTCATGCCGGCAAATTGGTGTGAATTGTTGCAAGTTTTAGGCAATGTGGCAAATAAAAACCCACCCTGTGATTCCCCACGTACGGCTCGATTACTGGGCACCTCGTTAGACGATGATGACCTATACTACGACCCTGACTCACCTCGATACTCGCCAGTAAGTACACCAACCTCACCACCTCATACATCATGTCCACCGTCTCCTACTTCGTACGTTGATACACCGGCTTCACCATCTCCTCAGCCGCAAACTATCGATTGGTGGACACCTGATATACCTTTATCGCCGACGATTCTTCCAGTGTCATCGCCAACACCTTCGCTTATCGATGAATTAGAGGAGTATGAGGAAATGTACCCGCTTCCGCCGTTATATGAAGAAATTGTGGATGAATTGATGGCTACGGGGGAGGTGAATCCACGCGATCTTGGACAATGGAACCATGGAAAAGAGGTAGTGGTCGTTGAGTAATCATATAATTAAAATATAAACTGTCATTTTATGTTCTACATATTTTTACCAACGTTAAAAATATAATTAAAAATAATTTGTTTAACGTTTGTGTCCCCAGTAAAAGTACGTATAATATAAAATTTACGTAAGCAATAATTTTAATGGCTTGTAAGTTTTCCAAATATAATTATAAAAAAATGTTAGTTTATTTAAAATATTTGATTAATGCGTGTCTGATGTAAACATTATTATTAGGTAATATTATTAAGCATGTACTGTATATGTATTATTATAATTTACAATTATGTTGTTTTTAATATAATAATTTATTTATAGAATGATTTTGAATAAATTTAAATTATTAAACTTATTCTTTAAAAAAACTAATTAATAATAATAAATCTTAAAATTTAATTGTCTATTAACATCTCATATTATGCAATCCAACTTTATTTGTAAAATTGTTATATGCAGTTTATATTTTAAAATGTAAATTCTATGTTCATAATATATTATATATATTTTAAATAATAAATTAATGGTTCAATTATTTTATTACTAACAATAAAGTTTATAATATACAAAAAATTAAAATCTTAAATATACATTCAGTAAATGCAAACTAACTTTAAATCCCGGGATGTATACAAATTTAAAATAAACTGTCAATTTATTGCCAGGATGTATAACAAATTAAAAATTAAATGTTGATTTATTGCCGGGATGTACACTGAGTATATAAATATAAGCTGTTTATTACATTCGTATATTATATATTGATTACAATTATACAATTTTACGACTTATTGTTATGTTACACACAACGATATGGACACCTTAAATATAGTAAGTAATTTTTAATTATCCTTATATGAATACTATTAATTACTATTTTGTAAAAATATTAATATTGATAAAAATTAAATTTTTAGATACCGATTGAAATAGCCTTCACAGACAGTATTATTGATATTAAAGTGAATGTAAAATCTCTAATGAACCTTTCATTAACACAAGCAGATCCACAACCAGAATCACAACCAGAATCACAACCAAAACCACAACCAGAATCACAACCAGAATCACAACCAGAACCACAACCAGAATCAGAACCAGAATCAGAATCACAACCAGAATCACAACAAGCGGCCATAAAGCGCTTTAATTAAATTGCATTTTTTCGGAAAAATAATAAAAGGCGAAGAGAATGCATGGAGAAGTTTTGGACAGACATTAACAATGAATTGTTTGACAAAGATGTTGGATGGTTCAAGACCAAAGGCAGAAAACAAACTGAAAAGCAGATCAAAGAAAAATTGCAATTATACAACAGAATTAACATTAAAGTTAAAGAAGTTTGTGATGTTGATGACGAGATAGAGGCATCAATCCCTAAACAATACAAATGCATTTAATAACATTTTTTCAAAATAAAATTATTTATTATTTAATTTTTTTGGTTATATAATCAATTATTAATGTAAGTTTAGCAATATTAAAGGAACTGTGTATGCCGGGATGTATGATAAATTTAAAATAAACTGTCAATTTATTGTCAGGATGTATGTACATGGTTATTAATCATTGACTGTTTTAGAGAATACATTATTCATTGACTAGTGTGCCAGGGCCTGTATAATAGTAACTGACCATTGGCTACTGTGTTACAGCCTTTATTTTATTACAACAGATTCTATAGTAGGAATTCCCTAATAGGCGATTGCAACAATTAAACGATTGCAATCAATTTTAAAAAATTTATTATTAATACATTCATAATAGTTCGGGAATGGTGGATTCCAATAAAATTATATTTTATATGTTAGCAATATAAAAATGGAGAATTTGAATTACAATACAGTTTATAATTATACTCTGTTCTGCCTAATGTCACATTGTACTATTTCACATTTTGTCTAAATTCACATTAGACCAGTCACCCCATCTTGGGGTATATGTTTTAACATGGACCTAATTTCACATCTGTATATTTTCTAATTTCACACATAAATTGTTATTATGTATATAGGATTCCACTTATAATTTCACATTTTTTTCGAAACAAATTTTTCTATTTTTGGTACATTTTAATATATTATGTAAATAATTATGAGTAGTAAACAATTGTTAATATGTTTTTATTATAAAATGGTCTAAATTTATCTTTTAAACGAAAAATTAAATGATATATGTTATTGCAAAATCTAATTTATGGACTATAATGGAAAATTACATGTAAATTCATCCCTATATTTTCACATTTTGTAATTTCACACCCCGAAAATTATAGTCCCAACTGTGTGACATTAGACAGAACCGAGTGTATATTGAATTAATTTAATAACATAAAATAGAATCACGGATTAAAATCTACCAGCTACTGGCCCTGCAATGGGTATTATAAATTATTAATATGATATAATAATTGTAAATACACTAAAAATAATAACCATGTTTAATTTAAAGATAAGGAACAATATACACTGATTTTGTAGCAATAAAAACTATGTGACCATATTTGGTCAAAGCGCCGGCAGTTGGTCGGTGTCGGCACATGTATTGTCCCCGTTATCCAAAAGGCCTATTCAAGAGGGCTATTATGTCGAGTGGAACCCATATGTACAGTAAGCGCAGGGATGTTGTGTCTAAACAGGATGCTGTAAATAATGCTAAACAATTGGCTCGTGATCTAAATTGGGATGATCATGGTAATTGGGTAGATTGTTTGCGAAAAGTTAACGCACACGAGTTGGTCAAGTCTGTGACGCCGTTGACGTTCCCGGTGTTGGGCACTGAATTTTTTCCCCTTTCGACCGCTGAGGCTTTCCAGCAAAATATGTTAAATTCAGGTATGTAAATAAATTATAAATAATATCAATATTAAAATGTATTCTAATAATATTAATAATAATTGCCAATATTAATATTCAATTTAAAACAGTAATTCATACTATAAATTACAAAAATATTGTATTTTAAAAACTATATAATTAAAAATTGGACAACATCATGTTTAATGTTTAATTTGTTGCAAAATGAACATTTTACATAAGTGTTGTTAAAATTAGACATAGATTTGTTGGCTGGTGTGAGCCGAGATGAGGGTCCATTGTTGGCCAAAGTTTCCTACCCAGATGTCTTTAGTGTAAATATTACAATAGATGAATTTATGACAACATTGACTAAATTAAATAATGTATTTTATGACATACCTGAAGAAAATGTTTGCGATTATTATGCAAATAATCAAAATAATCATGGTCAATTGAGCGTTGCATTTGGCAAGCTATACGGTGATTTATTTATGATTTGTCCCACATATGTGTTTGCTAAAGAATTTATCAAGCTTAGTCAACATGGTTCAACAGATTTCTACATGCTAACATATAAAAGCAAAATGTTTGCAATGTTTGATCAAGATGATATAGACTAGTCTATTGCTCGGCAACCTTTTTTAGCATATCACATATACAGATTCACAGTGTGCCATAAATAGGTGGCGCAACGGTCGGTAAAAATATTTAGGTTTGTCAGTTTAAACAAGAAATACCACGTGAAGGTCAACCTAATAGTTTCTCATCCATTTTTACAAGTGGTTGGCTTTCAGTCTATCCACAAAACGTCATTTAAAATAAAGAATAACAGAAATTTAATTATTAAATCACATTTTAATGAGATTTCTGATATTGTTTGCGATTATCAGCAATTTTATTAATATTTGACTCAATCATATTTGATGACCATACTTTCAAACGTGATCTTAATGTATTTTTGGAATAACTATTAGTTTTGTCATTTATAATCGATTTCATTAATGAAAAAATTGTTCACAATCAAAAGTCAATCCAAAATATGTCAGAATTGTCAAAGCATTATTTATTAATAATGGGAATTCTTTAATATTAAGTTGAGAGTAGAATGAAATAATATCCGACGTTTGATAAATGTTTTCAAAATTGTTATTAGATTTCAAAAATTCTAACCCCTCTCACCCCCTGAATATTTGTATATGAATTCAAACAATTATTTATCTATCTTAATGTTTCAATTAAATTACCAGTGTAGAACAAAACCTTGTCGGTTATGTCTACCTAGACTTTAAAACATAATTTTAATGTTATGACAATTGGCTTTTCTACTTCAAGTTCCCAAAAGGAACTTCGTTGCCGACCAATAGACTAGACAATTCACCATGATGATGAATTGGCATTTGTTTTCGGTCACCAGCTTATGGATCAACAAAACTACACGTAAACTGATTATGATTTTAGTATACATGTGATGGAAATGTGGACTAATTTTGCTAAAAACGTGTTAGAATTTGATTTCTAACCACACGTCTATAGTAATGTTTGATTGCCAAATGTGACCAAACAGTAGCCATTCGTCAAGTGTTTTACCGAACATTAAAT